GAAAAGGATAGTGTTAGCTATGTCGGCCAACAGTGTAACATATGCATGGACTTGTAGTTCCCACTTGTGATGAACTCCATTGGTCATGAATCTACATCAAGCTGCTGCTTCCATTAGGCTCGGCTGCAGAACACCACCATGTCCTGCTTACACTCAGATCCTTACGTACTCACAGGCACTTAGGGATAGAATCAGATACACATCTGTAAAGATGGACTGTTGGATGAGATTGTATCATCTTTACATTATTGCTGCATGGAATAATATGACTTCTCTCAAATCCTTTTTTTCTGAAAAGAAAAAGTGCAAGCTCCCAATGTGTGTGTGTGTGTGAAAGAGAGAGAGAAAGAGAGAGAGAGAGAGAGAGAGAGAGAGAGAGAGAGCGCGATGAAAAAGTGCTTCACTTGTGGTGAAGAATGACCTCATTTCTGGTTTGGAATATTAGGTTTGGTTTTTGCTCAGGTTCAATTATAAATGATGAAGGCAGGGGGGAAGTCTAATGATGAACAGCTTTGAAAGGTGGGGTTGGGTGGGGATAGGCAAGGAGGCCATAGGGAACAGGAGACTGGGACTCTTGGAGATAAATTTACCTCATGATTAAATACTGGAGCAAGAGAGAGAGAGAGAGAGAGAGAGAGAGAGAGAGAGAGAGAGAGAGAGAGGTATATATTTGGCTAGGTGTTGGCTTACAAATAGCAGGATAGAGGAGGGTTTGGTTTTCCTCCTCCAAGAAATAGAGGAGAAAGAAAAAAGGGGTGGTGTGCTCATTTTCCTCCTGATCAAAAGCCTTGAATGGAGGAACAACTCAATCCTTTAGCTGTTACCCATCTCCTCCAACAAACCCTAAGAAGCCTATGCATCCACAAGAGCTCCCAGTGGGTGTATGCTGTGTTCTGGAGGATCTTGCCAAGAAACTACCCACCACCCAAGTGAGCAAAATTAGTATCACAAGCTACAGAATTTTCCATCCTTTTCATTATGTTTCTTACCTTCTTCTCCTTGTTTCTTGGCAGGTGGGATCTTCAGGGAGGGGTTTATGACAGGACTAGAGGAAACAGGAGAAATTGGTACATGTTCCTTTGGATCTCTTCATCTCTGCACAGAAAATTGTCCTCAACCTCTCTCTCTCTCTCTCTCTCTCTAGGATACTTGCATGGGAGGATGGGTTCTGCAATTTTGCTGCTTCCACCTGTGAGCAACCTGGGGGATCATCAGCTCACGAAGAATGCGAAATTAAAGGTCTCCAGCCTGAGCTCTTCTTCAAGATGTCTCATGAGATCTACAACTACGGAGAAGGGTTAGTAGGAAGAAGATGATCCCTTTCACTTCCCCTCTCTCCTTTTTTATTTTTTTCCTTCATTGTTTCCTCTTTGTGAGAGAGAGAGAGGGAGAGAGAGAGAGAGAGAGAGAGAGACCACCTATCACTTGCTTGTTATATTTACCACTTGATGTTACAAACTTGTTTTCGCTCTCTAATTTTCTTGGCAGCTTGATCGGAAAAGTTGCAGCAGATCACAGCCATAAATGGGTGTTTAAGGAACCCCAGGATCATGAGCTAAATTTCCTGTCCACCTGGAACAATCCTACTGATTCCGTAAGTGGGCCTCTCACTGCTTTCCGGTCCTTTGCACCACCACCACCACCACCATCTTATTTACATCAGATGTTTCTTTCCTTCTTGCTTCTCCACTGAGTTCTCTTTTCCTCCCCAGCAACCAAGGACTTGGGAAGCCCAGTTTCAATCTGGCATCAAGGTCAAATCCGCACCCCACGCTCTAAAGTTGGCAGATCCATCAGTATCTGTAGACTGACTTGCTTCTCGCCGTTCATGCAGACTATAGCTCTGATTGCAGTCAGGGAAGGTGTCGTGCAATTAGGATCCGTCAACAAGGTCTCTCTCTGATCTCCTTGACTGGTTAAGATTTCTTACCTTTTGCTCCATGTTTTCTGATGGTGTTCCTCTCCCCTCTCAACTACGCATATGCACAACATACCCATGCATAGTGCATGCTTATCATGGATCACATGGTTCCATAAACGTGCATGATCACATGATGCTTGGCTGCATCATATATACTGCCTCCCTGCCTGTCGTTGCCTAACTTGCTACTCTAATGTTTTTGGCTGCTGTGCGAATCATGGCGATGCATGAAGGTGATGGAGGACCTGAGCTTCGTCGTCCTACTCCGCAAGAAGTTCAGCTACCTCGAAAGCATTCCCGGCGTCCTTCTCCCGCACCCATCGTCGTCGGCCTTCCCGGTGACCATCGACGGTTGCAACGTCCCTCCGCATTGGCCCGTGCACGGGGCACCGCTCGTCCCCCCGGCGGAACTTTACGATCATTTCGGCCCGCCGCAGATGAGGATCACCCCGTCGATGAGTAGTCTCGAAGCTCTCCTCTCCAAGCTACCCCCGGTCGGGCCGCCACCGCCAGGGTCCTCACCGGGCTACTTCGAGATGCCGGTGCTCATGCAGCCGCAGAAGCCGTCCTTGGGAGCTGCGGAAACGGAGAGGGCGGCGGCGAAAGAGGAGATGCAGGAAGAGTATGGGCAAGAGAGTGGCATCATGGAGTTGGGTGGTGAGAGCAGCAGCTCCATGCCTTACTATGCCAATGTGACCAAACCAGATGAAGGGTTTTAAGGGGTCTTCTGCTATTAAGAGCTTTGTTATTGTACATGACGACAGTCTGTAACCTGTAGGATGGCGTAATGGCAGGTTGATGCAGTTCTAATCCCACCTCCTAGTTTGTGTTTCTGAGCACCTGAGAGAATTAAGGGCACATCATCATTATCTTCCATGCTAACCAACAGAGAAAACAGGCATGCAATATCACATAATAATATGATCATGGTAAGTTGAACTCATTTGCAGAATTGCATCCATCTTTTCATATGCCCGCTTTTATTATTGTGGTAATGCATGAGATATATGATGTGTTTGCTGCATCATTTTCTCTTCTTTGGTTGATTCATATTTCATGCATCAGACGTGAAAGCATGCATCATTGTAACGAGACTATACTCGATATTTCATGCATATTAGAAGCCAAAACTCGCATCAATCTATCATAACATTTTCATCTTCTAAGCTCTCCACCTGATTTCATGATCTGAAATTAAAGTAAAGTTCCACTGTGTGAGATCTTATTTCACGAAATAAGTTTGGCCAATAACCAGAAACGAGGCTGGCCGTATATACATACATACATCAAGTTGATCAGACAAACATCCTTCCTTGAGGCCTTGTCAACTTATGGTCATGTTCATACCAAATAGGAAATTGCTTGGAGGAGAAGGATGATGAGCATGGAGATGTAGATGTACCAAATTTGTTAGGGAAACTGTCGATCGAGAAATCTGCTGCTAACATGCCATAAAGAACCAGATAATTATCATCAAATTCCAGGACTGCAAGTAAGGTTATAAATCTCGTGGAAGAAGATGCTGTTGAGGCTGCGGCAGCTTCGCATGTTGCAAGTGTGATTTGCTTTACATAGATAAGCTAGGCCAAATAAGATAGTCCATGACTTGTTACAGAGAAGGATCGATGTATGCAGCTTTACTCCTTTATCACACACACACACACACACACAAAGAAGAAGGGGGAAATCTTATCATGGTACCAAGCATCACTTTCATTAGTATCATTCAAATAGGTTCTCATTTCTTGTCGACCTATCCATGTCAGTATTTATTAGCAGGTAGCATATTATCTGGAAATCTTAGTGCATGTGAGTTTTGAATCTTAATCAGCATATCAAAGTCGGGGACGTGGTCATGTTGGCATAATGTTAATGATCATCTTCATGCCAAAAGATGTTATAGTGCAAGCTTTTAATTCTTGAAATCCTTCCAAACACAATAAGCTGTCTTTGTATTCAGGAGTCCTTTTGCAGTGAAGAGATGGGAGTCCAGCGTCCCAAGAACATGCAGCAAATGGTTGCAACCTGTTTCCCTGCAGATGTACCCCTCTCTGTTTGATTGTGATTTATCACCGTCTCCACTTGCCATCTGTGGTCACCATCTAATCCATGATTTTTGTTTTCTGCTGGCTGTTTCTTCTCTTCGTGTGTATATTAATACATGCGCAAACATAGCCCAGCTTTGATCTCCAAGTTTAGCAGAACCAGGAAGATGGAACCCATATTAACCAAGAAAAAAACATGATAAAGCAATGCTGAATCTCTTTTACTGATTGAAAGCATCAAGACTAAATGCAAGTTTCATATTCAGCCTATAACTAGATTCAAATACACTAGCAGCTACCACTGAGAAGTATCATCCTTATTACGGTGCCAACAAAAGAGCTACTGATAAGATCAACTGTATGCCATCCAATTGTAAAGCCCTTTGCAAGCAACAACCAGAAATGAGAGAGAGAGAGAATCACAATTGCACGGATGTGATTGAAGGATGCATTTCATTATGTGATATCAACTTGGAGAAAGCTCCCTTTTTCTCCAATTCATTCCTCAACAGCATTGCACACAAAAATTCATAGGGAGATTTCATCTCTGCATTCCTAGCAACAGGTTTTGCTTCTAAATCTGAATTTAAAGAGAATTTGCATTGTAAGGAAATAACTGGAAATCAATGTTAAATACAGTCACCTGTGTCCACAGCAATCATAGAAGCAATCAGCAATACAAATATGCAAGTTGCATGGCTGGTCCCGAAACCTGACTATCAACTAGTTATCCTTCAACAAAAGCTCTGATACCTCTGTCTCTGTCTCCACGGATATTATTAGGGTACCTACAGAAAGCTAGAGGATTTTGCGTACTCAAATAAAGCATAAATGTTTGTAAGAGAATTCTGACACTGGTCAAGTAGTTCGTGTTGGGTCCAATCGATAGGTAGATTTGCATTTGGACCGGACAATAGAGCTATTGAGCCCAAATTAATTATTAAAAATATCAAAGGAAGTGGAGACATTTCATCAAGTTTAGTCCAAAATTTACAAGCTCTTGGATTTAAAATTTTTGTTAGACCATCAAACGGTTAAAAATCGTTAATTTTAGCCCAAATTTTATGAGAAAAATTCTCGCAATAAGTTTTACAATGGTGCTAATCTATGATTTATCTTCTCTAAGATACTTTTTTGATATACTCATTTGATAAGACTTAAACTTTTTCTTTCATGAAATCGATGATGATATGTTATTATTGAGCCAAGATCTATACTATTGATATTATTATGATCTTATATGAAAAAGATATATTGTAAATCTATTATCATTATTAGCGATAGTGGAGGTTTGAAGTGCACTACGGTCCCGTAGTTTTTCCCGCATTGGATTTTTCACGTAAAAATTCAGTGTCTCACTTTGTGATTGATTTATTATTCTACTATTTATCCTGCTCAAGTTAATATTTGTTTTTGGTAGTAAATTTATATTTTTGTGAGGAACTATTTTGATACACAAAGAGGATAAAGAATTATTCCGCTATAAGAATTTTTCCTAACAAATGGTATCAGAGCATCAAATTGTATAGTAATAGTTTTTCTTATTAAGTTGTTTAGTAATAGTTTTTCTTATATGATTGAAATGAAAGAATCAAACTGTATGATTAAAATGAAGTCATCAAATTATTCAACTTGGAGGTGTAATTTGCTCTGTTACAAAGATTTGTATAAGCCATCAAAATTAAAGACAAACATTTTATTATTGAAGATGCTGAATGAGAGGTTCAATATAGAAAAATTATTGCCTATATTAGAAGATGAATGGATGTAAATTTGCACGAGCATATTTATGATAAAATCAGAGCTGATGTTATTTAGTAAAGGTTAGAAAATTTCTTTCCAAAAAAAAAAAGGAAATAAAGTTTCTCTCCGTATAAGACTTGCCAATTTAAAGTATAAAGATGACGATAACATTATTGAGCACATAAGCCTGTTTCAGAGTCTTACAAATAAATTGGTTACTATGAAAATGAATATAGATGATAAGATGCAAGGATTATTACTTCTATGCTCCTTACTAGAAAGTTGGGAAATATACTTGGTGATAATTTCTAACTCTGCACTAAAGAAGACTCTAACTATAGACATAGTTAAAGATAGTTTGCTAAATAAGAATACTAGAAGGAAAGAACAAGGAGAATCTTCTTCTCGTGTACTTATTATTAAAAAATAAGAAAGATATAAAATAAGTCATAATAGAAATCTATATGGTTATATAGGAAGATCTAAGTCTAGAAGAGATATTAAGTATTTCCACTATAATAGGCCAAATTATATGAAGAAAGAAAGTGTAGGTTTTAGAAGCAAGAACATAATGAAAGAAAGAAAAATGAGAAAGAGACCAATGTAGTTGCTGTTGAAGGTGACATCATTATTGTTTGTGATGACGGATGTGTTAGTTTTGCAGCTCAGGACAGTAAATGAGTAATTGACTACAGTACTTCATTCCATGTTACTTCTTATAGTAATTTCTTCAAATCTTATACTGTTGGTGATTTTGACAATGTCAAAATGAAAAATAGTGATACATCTAAGATTGTGGATATTGGAGATATTTGCTTGGAGACCAGTACTGGGAGCAAATTGAAACTCAAAGATGTTAGATATGTTTCAGATATTCATCTCACTTGATATCTATAAGTAAACTTGATGATGAGGGATTTACACACTATTTTAGTGAAAGCAAATGAAAGCTCACTAAATGTTCTCTAGTTGTGATGAGAGGAAAGAAGCTAAACTCTTTATATATCATGGAAGCTAAGCTATACAAAGGAGAGATTAATGCAATTCAAAAGGATGAAAGCATAGATCTTTGATATAAGAGGCTTGGTCATATCAGTGAGAATGGACTTCAAACTCTTGCTAGAAAATAGTTCTTATTGGAGTTGCAAGGCACATCTCTTAAATCTTGTTATCATTGCTTAGTTGGAAAAATACATAGAGTTATCTTTTATACATATCTGTTATCTAGAATATCAAATGTTATTGATTTGATTCACACTGATGTCTATATTATGTAAACTAGAACTCTTAAAGGTACTCTTTATTTTGTTACTTCTATTGATAACCATTCTAGAAAAGTTTGGGCTTTTGGTTTGAAATCTAAAGACCAAGTACTTAATGTTTTCTAAGAGTTTCATGTTAGTGTTGAAAGAGAAATTTGAAGAAAGCTAAAGTGTGTTCGAGTAGATAATGGTGGCGAGGATATGATTTTTTTTAGAATTATTGCATGTTCTATAGTATCAGGCTTAAGAAAATAGTTCCTAAAACTCCTCAACAAAATAGTGTGATAGAAAGAATGAACAGAACCATTAAAGAAAGGATTAGGTGTATGCTTTCCCATGCTGAGTTACTTAAGTTATTTTGGAGGGAGGCTATGAGAACTACAGTTGACTTGACAAACCTTTCTCCATCAGTTCCTTTAAAAGGTGATGTTCTAGAGAGAGTATGAAAAGGAAAATATGTATCTTATGATTACTTGAGAGTCTTTGGGTGCAAGGTATTTGACATACATTTTCTTGAGGTATAGTCATGAAGAGTTTGGGTATAAATTATTGGAACTAGTGAATAAGAAGATTATTAGAAGCAAATATGTTGTGTTTCTTGAAGATCAATTATATGATGGTAGTGATAATGTTGAGAAGTCAAAAACCTCTATTTATATCCTTTGGAGTTTGTGTCCATTTCCTCTATCTATAGTTCATGATGATCATGGAAGATGCTTCTACAGTTGATGATGTTGAACCAACTGAATAATTTGAGCAAGCACCTCCACCACTAGTTGAG